TCCCCTTGTTTTGTTTCAATATTTACGCAGCAGAATATATGTCTGAATTATGTCGTAAACATTATCTGTTTTGAATTTCAGCACTACCTTTACCAGTTCATTACAACTCTATGTAAATCTAACCATACCAGAGTTTCCTTTATAAAGACATCTATCTCACAGCAAGGCATTACACCGGAAATGTTCACTTTTCTAGTGGTAAGACTTGCTCTTTACTAATAATCAGATTATCAAAATAATTCATTCTTATTTCAGTTCGCTTTCATTGCTTCCACATATGCCGGTAAGTTGTATCACTTGATATTTCTTAACAGTAAATAAAATAATGCTTTTAAGACATCTGCCCTAGCGGCACTGGGATGACTGATCCTGTGCGAAATGAGATCTTGAATGTGCACAACAAATTCAGGTGATACATTTGGTGAAGTTGGATCTGCATGAAAATTAAATTCCCGTGTTCATAATGATGCAATTGAGATTGTGAAGTGAAACTAACAAAATGGAACATTAAAGAACAACAGGAGATTTGCAAAGAGATGATTCACTTTGATAAAATGCTGAAGAATGTTTAGGAGCAACAGAATTCCTTCCAAATAAGACCCCGAGCCTACGTTTTCTGATGGAAAAAAAGTAGAAGTTTTGAGAATGCTTTTTTGCTTACAAATTTGACTTCAGATCAGCCGTTGCCACTGGACACGCTGCTGATAAGATTGGTGGATTTGCGCCTACGGCAGCGAGAATGTACAAGCTGGTATAAGAAGCACTTAATTCAAAGAAGATCCTTTAAAGAGGAAAAAAGAAAAAATTCAGAAATACGACTGTGAAATGGAAAGGATCGCTGTTGCTCATGCAAGCAGATGCCAGTTTAGACACTCAGATCGTAGAACAAGACAAAATGCCGGTGAAAATATTTTCATGGCAAGCCCACCTGGTGACAAGGTCCTGATGGCTAGAAGAGTAAGTTTTGCTGATTATTGGGGAACGATAGGTTACAAGATGCGTAGACTAAGACATTTGTTCTGTTTAGGCCGCTTACGCATGGGCTGGAGAGCTGAACCAATATGGTGTTGGTAAGGAAAACATGTTTACGATGGCTCTAGCAAATCGACCTGGAAAAACTATCGGACATTACACACAGGTGAGCGAAAACTCTAATGGCTTAACTTTGATCCTGCAACAGGAATTTGGCTTGCCGGATCAAATTTAAACTTAAATGCAATTATGAATCAGTCTGTAGAAGCTTTGCTCAAACGCCGTGCATATGGTGTATTTGCGTACTATGCACAAACTTCCGAAGATGCGCAACATGTTCGTTTTCGATCAAATGCTTGGCATGCAATGTCTGTTCAGTTTGCATCTCATAGCTTAACTAAATGGGTTATACCATAAGAACTAATCTATCAGATTTTCGCGAAAGTCCTTATCAAGCTGATCTGAATGGAAATCCGGAATGTTAGCACTAGCAAGTACATTATAACTCTTGTTCCTCTAATTTACTATGTAGGATTAGGAGCTTCT